AGAGAGAGAGAGAGAGAGAGAGAGAGAGGCTCATTTTCTCTATGCTAGGTATACTATGTCTTTCATATTTGTAATCTGATGTGAGTTGTTCACATTAGGCCCTAAAATTTATTGGGGAGGAATGACGATTGTCTAGTTTTGTGAGCTTCTCTTAGGTTGCATAAAGATATTCAGTCCAAATATATAAGTATGTTGTGATGAAATGCTACATTGTTTAATCTTTTGTTACCACAGTTAGAGAAAAAGTGTAGAGATGTTTTTCAGCACATGAATCTCTTCTTGAGCATCTCACGGATGCCGCCCTCCCCCACCTTCTTTAAATTGACTTGCTGCATCAGCCTAAAGCACCCGTCCTCTGTTCTCCAAGACAGCCTTGAGTTGGGGGAGTGAGTCTAGCTCTCAGCTCCACCATGGCCTGCCCAACGGAAGCCTGTATTGAAGGTCATTGCTGCCCTTTGCGTACAGCTTGATACAGAGAGTATAATACTACAATAGAGCAAAGATTTGTCTGTCTTGCTTAGTGCCTTGTTTGATGCATTCATTTTCTTTCTTGTATTCATTTTGAATCACTTTTTCATTCATCACTGAATTACTTTACTCATAAAAATGACAGTATTCACCTTTGAAAATATCTTTATGGGTAGATAGGTTGCTTGAATCATCTCTCCTCTGATTAGCTACCTTGTTGCATAAATGGGTTTTTTCCCTCTGGAATTTACCAACTTATCTTTGTTTTGGGGGGGATTTTGTTTTGCATCTGTTTTGCCTGGATTTCATCTTTGAGGATTTTGTCCTGCTGGTAGGCAAGGAGATCTTTACTGCTCAGTAAAGAAGGGGAAGACAGCTGTTGTAACTGACTGTGAACCTGCTTTTCTGGCTAATGCAAGCTGTTAGCTCTTTGAAAAGCAGCTGCTGAAGTCTGTGCTCTAATTCCAGCAGGAGCACAGGAAAATCTCCTACGTTTGAATTTAAACATTCTGTGGCTTGGTCATTTCAGCTTCTTCTTGTTACTGTTTCTACCTTTTCACTGCAGTTTTCCCCCATCTATTAAAGATGCAATAAGAAGAGAGCAGGCAAGAGGAGGAGCTGTGAGCAGCTCAGCTGGCGAAGCTAATCAAGGCAGCTGTCTCTGAATAGCTTTCCCCCCCCAGCGGATGAAGCGTCTTTTTTTTAATCTTACATAAGCAATCTACCAACGTTTCCAGATCCTTCCCAGGCTGGCCTGAATGTTCTTCCATTTCTCTGCCAGTTCTTAACCCCCCAGATGCCATCCTGGATCCTTAACTGTGACCTTTGGGTATATTTTGTTTCTCTAAGTAGATTCAGCCTCTTTGCTTTTTTGGGGGTTGGAGTGTAACTTATAGTGATTGTTAAGGTTTACAGACAGTAATTATTCAAGAACTATAGTTGCAGTGTTTAACAGAAATTCTCAGCATCAGTTGTTGTTATGCCCTTGTCAGGTAGTTTAGGTTACAAAGATAGCATTTTGACAAATGGTGGAACTGTGGCACCATATAATTATGCATTTAGTGGAGGGTCAGACGATTTCTGTGTTCCTTTTTTTGTTACAAAGACCCTCCTTAAAAGGCTAACATTTTATTGTTACAATCCCCCAAATGCTTTGTTTCATGTTGAATGTATTTGATACTTGGACTTAGGACTCGGAAAGGCTAAAAGTACTTTGTTTTTGGTTTTTTCTCATTGTTAGTATACAAATTTCAATCAGTATGTGTGCTTCTTTTTGGGAGGCACCTCTGAGAGAGGTGCATGAAAAGTTGAGATCACGGGAGTCAGGAAATGGGGGCCCTCATCCTGTCTACTGGCTCGGAGGCTTTGGAGCTAGATTCTGCAGTTGGGCCTCAGCAACCTCATCTACAAAGTGACTAGGAGATCGCCAAGTTTCTTCTGTCTCTAACGTTCCATGGGTCTTTTCCTGTGGTTTTAAATTACAGCAGTCATTACAACCTGCTGAGGGTATAAGTGTGGAAGAACTCACTTTTTCTTGAAGCTAAGCACATGACTAAATGAAGACATTGATACTTGAGGCTTAATTGCAATCAATTTTACAATTGCTGTTAGTAATGGACATACTTGAATTAATATAACTCAACCATCTTCTTATTTTTCTGCTTCTATATTATTACTTGTTTATTTTAGAAAGAGAGGAAGGGAGGGGGAAAGAAGAGAGAGAGAAACATTGATTTGCTGTACCACTTATTTATGCATTCATTGGTTGATTTTTGTATGTGTCCTGACTGGGGATCGAACCTGCAACCTTGTCGTATCAGGACAACACTCTAGCCAATTGAACTACTTGGCCAGGGCTTCCATGTTTCCTCTTAAACAATGAATAAAATTATTTTTTTCCTAGACCACACCTTGACAAAGAAGTAGACTATATAGGAATATAAAAGGAACTGGCATATTTAGAGGATTTTAAGGGTTAATGTATTGGCCACATCTACACAAATTGGAGTTGTCTTGAAGATTGTTTGCATGAAGAAGCAGCACAGTGTTCCGGTCTGCGTAGCAGCTTATTCTTTCTACAGTTACCCATCCAAGTCAGACTCATGGTGGTTGGTTTGTTCTTGTTTTTATATTTAAAGAAAACGCACTGAACCAGCTTTGGCAAAACCTGAAAATGAGTCAGTGGCAGAACCACATTACCTGCCATCCCCTGGTTGAGGTCATAGGGAACAAACGTAGACCGTGGTCTCCTGTGAAGGGAGGAGGGTCTCAGCTAGGCCATCACTGAGTCTTCAGGCCCGGGAAGACCCAAGTTGTAGAGGGAGCAGGCCAGCTTGGCCTATCCATCGTGTTTTGATAAGGAGTTCCTGTCCTGTTTGGGCCCAGAGTTGATTAGTCAGGGTGAGGAGAGGATGTGAAACTTGGTGTAGTTGGGAGGGACACATGGGAGGGAATTTTGAGTCACTTAAAAGTCTTTCTTCTTTCCTCTCCCCATTCCCAGAACTTTGTCCGTTTGTGAAATGACTTTGCATTCCACTTCAGGAGAGCAGGGGGGCGACAGGGATTCCTCAGGAGAGGGAGGATAGGAAGCTGTGTTCTGGAAATGGGTCTTCACTTATGAGGGAGCTCTCCTTAACTAGGAAATAGGATTTTATTTATTTTAAAATTAGCAAGTGAAAAGAAGTGAACAGATAATACCAGGAAAATTATTGATTATTGAAGACTCTCATTATGCTCTGTGAACCTAAACTACTTAAATTCTCCATGGCTTCTGGAAGAAAGGGTTGAATCTGAGGAAAGGGCAGAATATGTTGGTATAGTGAATCAGGTGGTGATGCCATAGGCTTGTGAATCTTCATACTGAATTTTTAATTCCACAGCCTTAATTACACAGTTTTTTCATTTAGTGGCACTGAAGGGACTTAACAGGATGAGCTCCAGAGCAGTGCTGACTTACTTTAGAACTTTCCATGTTAGAAGCAACAGAAACTGGGAACTTTTGCCAGTTCTTTGGGGACTGCACTATTTGTCCAGAGACCCTCGCAGGCAGCTAATTCTCCACTGCAGCAGTGATGGGAAGCAGCAAAGGGACCAGCGTGAACTTGGTGGTTGCTGGTTGGTAGGAGGTGCCTAGAAGGCAGAACTTAAATCTTTAGGTGTAAGTTAAAGAAACATGGATTTCAAATCAGCATAAAGAATGACTTGACAATTGTCCAGGCTAGCAAAAGGGAAGCCTATTTTGTGAGGCAGAGGTTTTTGTCATAGATATTAAAGAAAGATTAAAATGATCTTTGTGGGGAAATATATTCTAGCATAGGGATAAGCAAACGTCTTTTTTTTAAAGACTAGTATATTGATTTTTAGAGCGAGAGGAAGGGAGAGAGAGAAACGTTGATGTGAGAGCGCAACATCGATTGGCTGCCTCCTACACGTTCCCGGGAGCCTGTGGGTGGGTAAACTGCAAAATTGGCTGGGTCAGAACAAACCTAGTTCAGGGTTCAGTGACTTGTGTTCAATTAATAAATAAAAACAGTTCTTAAGTCCAGGATTAGGTTTTCTTTAGTGTGCATCAAAGCCATCTATACTTTCGGCTGATGTGAGATGCAAGTGATGAGATGTGGTGTGATTGTCCTTAGAACAGGTCTGGTGTGGTTCTACATTCAGAAGGAATGCCAGTTATAAAGTCTGTTGACCAACATGCAAAAACTTGTGATGATGAAATTGGGAAGTTATCAGTCCCCTCCTTATTTGTAGGAAAAGGGTTCCTAAGATAGTTCTCTCCCATTTCTTCTTCAGAAAGCAAAACAGAAGCCACTTAATAGGCACTCCCTCAATTTCTTGCCAGGAATCATACAAACTTAAGCGCATCAGCACCTCCTTTCTGGGACAGTAAGAATGAGAACGTTCGTTGGTGGCTCTGACACCCTGCCCATTCAGCCTTTTGGGGTACTTTATCACTGGTTTCTCCTGAGTAACCTCCAAAAATGCGTCTGCTTTTCTACCTTGCTCTTACCCAAAGCCTGGTTTGGCATAGTGTCTTATTTAAAAACCCACACTCAAATGCAAATCCAATTCTGGAGATATTAAACAAACAATGTAAATTAAATGGGTCATGGAGAAAGGAGTTAATATTATCCATACATAATTTAAAATGCTACTTCAAAACCCTCTTGAAACATTCTGCCCCATCCCTAAACTCTGCTCCCAAATCCTCATTTCTTAGGCAGCTGCCTCATCTTTCTTTTCTCCCGATAACCTTCCTTTTCAGCCTTGCTCCCTCTTTCTTTTTTTCCCCCTCCTCTCCATTCCTGGATTTTCCAAGGAGCACTTTCCTTTTTGCACAGGTAGAAATTTCATGTGTCTCTGCTTCTTCCATTTGCATCCTGGTATATCACTGTGCTGGGGCCCCTAGTGATTTTTAAAACAAATGCAAATCTAATGGTGTTATTCTTTCTGAGGAAAAAATCTTCTGTGGCTCCCCGTTGATCTAGCATGAGGTTGCCAGACTCCTCACATGATCCAGCCTGAGCTGGACCCTGCTGACCTCCCCAGCCATGCTGGCATCCCTCACCAGTTTCATCTTTGCCTGGCCCTTGTTATGGCGTTGTTCTTTCTTACTCATGGCTCTTCGCACTTGCTACTGCTGCGCCCAGAATATTTATTGTTTTCCTCTGAACTTAGCTAACGCACCCTGGGCTCAGCTAGATACTGCCTTTTCATAAAGGCTTTCTATCACTTACTGTAGGTTACTGTAGGTTAGGTGTTCTTTCCGGTGAATATGTTCTCAGAATAGCCTTTTACTTCTCCCATCCTAATATTATCACACTTTTGAACTTGTCTCTATCCCATTAGACTTAGCTCATGAGGGTAGGGCCAAGTTCATCCTGGCCAACCATTTCATTTCCATCACTTAGCAAAATGGAAGGTTCTCAGTAAGTATTTCTTGGGTAGATAATCTACATTTAAAATATATTTCTATTTTTTCATGTTTGATTAATTCAAATACATTTAGGTTCATACCTTATTATATGGCTTAAAACCCTCAGTATTTTTTACTTTACTTTATAGAAAGGAACAAATGTATATCAATCTTGGAAAATTAATGCTATCTTTTCATTTGCAATTTTCTATTTGCGCCCTATTTATAAAGTTTTTATGGCTTATGATTGTAATATTTTTTAGAGTAGAGTATGTGCAAAGTATAATTTTAGTTATTTTTCTCCAGGATAAAGGGTTAAACTAAAGATTAAAAGAGAATGTCCACTGACTTTTTATCATGGCTGCATTTGTGGAGCACCTACTAGTTTAGAGGCTGCTTTGGTCTTTTCTTCAGTGAATCCTAAGGAGCGTAGTGATAATGCTTAGCATATTTTATATATAAATTTTTTCTTTTCTTTTTCTTTTTATGCCTTAGACAACTGTGCCCAGCAGTGGAATCTCGAAATAGAGTCTTCTTTTGATGTTGTCAGCTCAGAGCCAGTCTCTGGTCAAGTGATTGTAGAAATCCCTGAATTGCAAACACAGCAGACATACGGCATTGAACTTCAGCCTGGGGAAAGGATTGTTAAGCACTTTGTGAAAATTAACAAGGTGAATGATGGTACTTCCTGAGAAGCATGAGACGAAAAGCAATACTGTGTACTTTTTCCATTTTCTCCATCACTTTTAACCTCTCCCAAGAGGTTAAAAGCTATGGAATGATTTTCCCAGATTTTGAGATTTAGAAAATGGAAAATATGTGTTAAACTTGGCATCCTTTTCTCTCGAAGAGGCAGGTGTCTTATATTTTAATTTTTCTGTAGTATTTGCAGTATTCTAAATCCAAAGTAATGTTTAGAATTAAACATTATATTTAAGTACAGTGATTATTTTTGGTACCTGTCAATTATCTTGAGTATTTGTGCTTATTTGACATGCAGAATTCTAACTCCATGATCTTTCATGGGTAGAAGTAGGTTAGACTTTACCTTTTCTTTTTCCTTTTTAAAATCTGCCTAATTGATAATTGTGAGAATAGGATGGAGCAAATCAGCATTCAGTAACTGTTCAGATAAAGTAAGGACTCAAAACAATTTGTAGTTCTGGGCTTAAAACATTAGTCAACTCCAAAGTCCCAGTCTAAATGTTACGAATGTAGAATAAATGTAAGTGTGAGCAATAGAAATGGGAGGAATTGTTTTTCTGAACATCATGCTATTCTGTTTTTCCCCTTCCATTTTGGTGTATTAATCCATGCTAAACTGCTAGCATGTTGGCTCTTAAATATTATCTATGGATTGGTATAATTTGGCTTACTATAGGGAGGGAGATTTATGTTGCTTTAGAACCTAGAATTTCTATAAGACATGGATATAATGCTCTGAATCAACATATTATTTTGCTGAAAATATGCCACAGATTACTTAGAATGACTTTTATTTTTTCTTAAAAGAATGTTACTGTAGAAACTTGGTGGCCTCATGGACATGGAAACCAGACTGGGTACAACATGAAAATTCTTTATAAGTTGAATAAAGATGTAAACATAAAAAAATCAGCTAAGGTAAGCAAATACTTTATTTTGTGAAAAAGTTTCTTGTTAAAATAACAATACAGATCTCTGTAGGAAAAGAAGAAACCAACAAAATTCCTGTAACCCTACCACTCAGAGATAATCACTAGTAACAGTTACAGGCATTCAGAAGCTTGTGTGTGTGTGTGCATGTGTAAGTGTAAGTCCTCACTATCATAGATGATAGGTTATGTGACTTAAGTGGAACAATGTATAATGATTCCAGTTTTACCAGAGGCTAATTGATAAAACAAGAGTTAGGTTTCTACGACATCTCATCAACTATTATAGTGAAATGATGAACAAAAGCATGTTATTTCAGGACTTGCTATATTTATATTTTTAAATGAATTGGACTTTACATATTATTTTTTGTTTTTTAATATATTTATTTAATTGTAAATTTATATAATTTAATTTTTAAAAATAAAGCACTTTATCAATTATAGTTGACATATAATATTATATTAGTTTTAAATATACACCGTAGTGAATAGACATTTATATAACTTATGAAGTGATCACCTCAATAAGTCTAGCATTATTATTTATAAATATTTTTCTACTGTGTTTTTAAATTCTACTTTATATCAAAGAATACACATGTATCATTTTCAGGCTTAAATATTACTAGGTTTATATGAAAAATAGGAATCAGCCCTTCCTGTTCTTATTTTCTATTCCTCAGAATCAGTACTTTTTAACTTTTACTTATTTCTGTTGCTGTTTATCTTCATTTCCACAAATAACATGCTTCTACTGGTGTTCTCTAATTTTCCAGCTTTGTATATTATCTATTGACTTCTAATCTAGAGGAGGAGGGCGTAGCTCTCTTACATGATTTTCTGATGACCTTCCTTAGCTCCCAACATACATATTTGCCTTTCTCTGTCCTCCCAATGTATTATTATTTATTTATTTATGTTAATCCTCACGTGAGGATATTTTTTCCATTGACTTTTAGAGAGAGTGGAAGGGAGGGAGGGAGGGACGGGATGAGAGAGACAGAGAGAGAGAGAGAGAGAGAGAGAGAGAAACATCGATGTGAGAGAGACACATTGATTGGTCCCCTCCTGCATACACCTTTGGTGGGGCTGGGATCAAACCTGCAACCCAGGTACATGCCCTTGAGCAGGCCGATGCTCCAACCACTGAACCACATGAACCAGGGCCTCCCTCCCGATGTATTTTTGTTAATTCAGTGTTCAGTGTTTACATGATTATATTATGAAAATACTATTCAAAGCTGAATCTCGTGGTGTACTAAAATTGTATTTCCTTTCCTGTGCAACTTTCTGTTTTCCTTAGAGTTAATAATTGCCTCATGTTTCTTTGTTTTGTACTTACTTTCCTTTAAATCATATACAAACACTCTTATATACTTGAAATACTTTTTAAATATAGTCATATTCATTAGGTAATCTATCCATTTTATATTATTACTGTTATTATTCTTTTTAATTTTTGTTATTTCTTGAAACTCCCCTAGTGAAATTTTCTCATTTCCCTGATCTTTTACTTCACTGTTGTTCTGGAACTTCCTTTATTATTATTATTATAGGAATTACCTTCACCTATATTCTAGGAATTTTAGGTGTTTCCTTCATCTTTCTCCTGGATTAAACATGGGATCCTGTTTCATTAGACCCATGTTTTTCTTTTTCTTTTTTTACTTTACATTTTTGGTGAAACACTTTTGTCAATAGATTCTTGAGGATGGGTATGTGGAAAATGACATTTTGAAAACTTATAAATAAGCAAATATATAATGTTTATCTTCACAGTTACTTGATTGATAATTGGCTGTGTTTAGAAGTGTAGGTTGGAAATAATTTTTTCCCTAGAATTTTGAAGTCATTGCTTCATTATCTTTTAGCTTTTAGTATTTTTGTTTTGAAATGTACTTACATTCTAATTTTTGCTTTCTTGTATAGAACTGTTCTTGTTTGTGTCTGGAAACTTTTAGGATTTCTTCTCTTTAAAAATTTTTTTTTTAATCTTCACCTGAGGATGTTTTCTTAGATTGCTTTTCAGAGAGAGTGGAGCGGGGAGAGAGAGAGAGAGAGAGAGAGAGAGAGAGAGAGAGAGAAACATTGATGTGAAAGAGACACATCAATTGGTTGCCTCCTGCACACACCCTGACCAGGGCCGTGGATCGAGCCTGCAACTGAGGTACATGCCTTTGGCCAGAATCGAACCTGGGACCCTTTAGTCCGCAGGCTGACACTCTAACCATTGAGCCAAACCGGCTAGGGCTTAGGATTTCTTTATCTCTGACAATCTAAAAATTGAAACTTGGAAAATGAGTAGATTTTCGTTGTTGTGCCAGTCATCTTGTGAACTCTTCTGATGTAGAAACTCAATCTGGAAGTTTTCTTGTAGTTTTTTATAATTTTTCATTTATTATCTTTGTTGTGTTTTTTTGGTACAACTGTTAATCAGATATTGGATCTCCTGGACTGAGCAGTATTCTCAGATTTTCTCTTCTATATTTCATCTTGTCTTTAAAATTCTATCCTTTGGGAGATTTACTAGATTTCATATTCTGTTTTTAATATTAGATATTTTTATGACTTAAAATTTTTCTAAAAAGTTTTAAATTTTATTTTAAAAATTGTATCCTATTTGTATTTTATAGTTATAATATCTTCTCATTGTTAATTATTATAAGTGTTTTTAGAGATTTCTCGGCATTGTTTTTGTTTTCCATATTTCTTTATTTCTTCTATTTGTTTTGGTCTCTGTTTTTCTCATTAAAGACTTTCCTTGAATGTCCAGTTTTCCTTGGTGTCCATTCATTCTGAAGATTAAGGCACAACAATGCAAATGAGAAGCCCTACATGGACATCAGTGTTCAGTATTCAGGTGGAAACCAACTTTATCACGGTGATGCCCACATGTCAGTTGCTATAGATCTTGTGTGTGTGTGTGTGTATTTGTTTAGCTTTGCCAGTGAGGACATTCTCCAGTCTCTTGCCTGGGTAGTTTAAGACTGGTCATTACCCTTCAGGGAGTCTGGTGGCAGCAGGGGATAAAGTACTTACCATTGAGCATAGGGTTTCATCAGTTCCCCTCTCGCAGCGGACTTCATGTCCTCAGCCTCTCTGATTGGGAAAGGAAAAATGATAGGCGAGCTTCAGAATCCCTTCTTCAGAAGAATGCACTTGATTTCTTCTTTTAGAATAAAACATCTTATAGGTCATTAAACATAAAACTGCCTCCCCACGTCACTTTAAAAATTGTACAATTGAGCCAGGATTGGAACTGAGCTATCTAGAGAGGACAGTGGGGAAAAAGTAGCCCCTGTCCTCTAAAGTAATACTCTAAAGTACCTCTAGAGAAGGACCAGTCTTCCCTCTCCTCCGCCATCTATCAGGGCTGATAATTAAAAAATATATATAGTAAAAATGTTTCCCCCTGAAGATATATCCACCTGTTTTGCCTGAATAAGCCTTATGGTAACCTCAGCTAGAGGATATTGAAAGGAAACTTTTGACTTCAGTCTAAAGACATTATTAGCTCCTGCCCAGTTTGGGATACAGCACTAAGGACTAGGAAGAACAACACTTTGGTATTCATTACAGGTTAATTTTTTAACCCTTCAAATGCCTTTTCCTTATGTGTAAATTGGGACAGTAAAGATAAGGTAACTTGGGTAGTATATAATAAGTAGCAGTGACGTTAATCTCCTTCATAGATTTCCTCCTTTCTCAGACATCAATCTTTGGTATTTGTAATTAGCTGGGGTTGTAGTCTGGTGTCACCTCTCACAGTTTATATTACCTCTCCTGGGGGGCCAGAAACCATGCTAAGTTTGGAGATATACCCTTCAGTAGTTCACTTTCTATTTTTCCTTTTTGAAATCATGCTCTATATTTTCTGGGGCATTGTGAGTATGTGTGTGTCCATATCATTTACAGGGAGAATGTTCTAGAGCTGGCTAAAGGGCCTAAACATTCACTCTTATTCTATCCCTTTTGGCCAAAGACTCTGCTCTCTCACTGCTGAGTCTGTTGTGTGTCACCTTCATGAAAGTGTAAAAAACAATGAGTCATTCTAACTTACCACCGAGAAAGAAGGGGAACTTCTGTGGTTTTTTGTTTGTGGGAAACAGTTCTTCATTCAGGCTAATATGGGTGCATTGTACTAAAATGCCACCCTTTGACCAGCAACAGGAATGAAGGAAGATGTATTGCTCCATGCCTTGTGTTAATGCATGTTTGTGAAATGTGCCCTTTGGCTGTGGCTGCTGTAGAGTTTGTTATTTTTGAGGTTCATTTAATTCACTGACTACTTAGGAAGATCTAATGTGTTTCAGCCACTTTGCTAGGCTTTGGTGATAGAACAGTGCATAAGACACTGCTTCTATTTCTCTCTGAGATCATGATAAAGCCAGTAATTCAGTTGGAAAATTAAATAATTAAACAAACAATTGCAATAAAGTGTGACAAGCACTCTAGAGAAATATAGAGTACTGTGCAAACACAGAACAGAGGCATTCTTGGAAGATTCCCGAGAAGGTGATGGGTCCTGAGGGATATGTAGAATTTGACCAAGCAATGTAGCAGAGTCAGAGGGACAAGATTATGCCAAGGCCCAGGGACTTGAAGAAATATTGTGTGTTTGTGGAGGTGAAAGAAATACCAGTGTGGCTGTTTGAATTTGAACAAGCAATGATGTTGTAAAAGTAGGCTAAGGCAAGATCATGCAGGGCCTTGTAAGCTGTGTGTGAAGGAACTAGGCTGTCCCGAGGGCTATGGGAATTCTTTGAAGGGTTTTAAGGAGAGAGCAATGATCATATTTGTTTTACAAAGATTGTGTAGATCAGATTGGAAGAATGACAAGAGCGGGAGGCCAGTTGGAAGACAGTGGTGGTAATTCAGGCACAAGATGATGATTGCTGGGACTGTAGAATTGCAGAGGACAGACAGATTTGGGAGAGTTTAGAAGGTAGTGCCATCACAGTTGATGCTGCAGGGATGGGAGAGAAG